ATATTTGTTATATATTATCAGAAATATATTAATGTAAGGATGTTTTTATCTCAGCCTGGACAAAACTAGTTGTGCATTTCCAAATTGTGAATACCAATCCCATATTTCTGAGTGTGGTACAGTGTGACACAAATTAGTCATTTCAACTAATTACATAACTTAGTCCTGCCTCAACAATTTGAATTAAACCTCAGAATACAGGATGAGAGTTGAACCATACTAATCACTATAAATACATACCTATGCACAATTGTCCAACAGGCTTATATCCAAATTTGTAATGACATAACAAAAGTGCAGTACAGGAATCCAACACTGACTAAACCGATCTTCATATAATTGTAGGATGGTGGCACATGTCTGTCATCCCAGTGCTTGGAAGGTGAAATCAGGAGGATTAGAAGCTCAAGGTCATCCTTGGATACAAGTTCCAGGATCAGACACATGAGACCTTGTTGTCAAAACAGAACAACAGCAAAGTATTTTTAAATGAAATTATATGCCTTTTCAATTTCACTCTAGGGAAAAAAATGGTATCGGAGATAAAATATGGCACAATGAAATCTCAAAGCATCTTTTCTCTTTCTCTTATCAGATAGGCATTAGGCTCCAAGAAAAATTAATTAATAAAGCAAGTTTAGTAATTTAAAATGGAAGCAAAATTTTACAAGGTTTAATATGATGAAAACTTAAACAGCTATGTTTTTAAAAATTGTACTCCTTGTTGTGATTTAATTTTCTTGAATTGAATGACTAATAAGCACAAAATGGAAATAAGGGTTATATTATAAATCATGTATTTTCACAATTTTCCATTCAAGAGTTTTTATTTATGGAGAAAATTAAATGGATAGCATGATTATTTAAATACATGAACAGTATTATAGCAGAAGGAGTCTTATGGGATTAAAGTTTTAAAACAATCTTTTTGAATTTGAAGGTAAGACTCTATTGCTGAAGACAAGACATACTTTGGACACAGGACTTGGAACAATGGCGCTGGAACTGACCTGGAAGCCTCCTCCCTGAAGGCTAGCTCTCGTAGTTTTGGAGGACACTATGCATGCTGCTAAGGGAGAATTTCAGAACATCAATGTATGGTCAACCCCAGCTTTAAAGCCTAATAACCACAACAATGACCATCACAACAAACTATATTGGGGCAGTAGTGACACTTTTGTCTTGGGGACAATCAACAGTTGCTACCTAATTGGATCTAAAATTCACTCAACAGGAGGAAACTTATGTGTGGGACTGTAAACACAGCCAAATACACATGGCTGGAAAGGTCCTAGACCTTAAAGAAAACCCCAAGGCTGTCACATTCCTATACAAATATATTTCCTTACTGTGTACTAAATATGGATCATTACATTTACAGACAAGTATGCCAGTCACCACTCATCAAAGAAGCTTCTTTTGCAGCAGAAGGAGACAATTAGAGTTCCACAACTGATCACACACAAAAATTAAAATTAAGTGTCTATAAAATACCAAACTCTAAGAGACACATCTACAATGGAACCTCTACACCTAAGACTCATGGAGCATGGTAGAATAAGGCATAGAGAGAATATTAATGCATCCATAAGTTGAATTTCCAGGCCCACTGAAGCCCCCTCCTCCGACTGTCCTTGCAACAATCCGACACAATATTCTTCCAAACTACAGTTTAGGGAATAAAACTATTTATTGGGCTTACTAACAGAGCATATGATTGCAGTGAAGAGGTACTTACAAAGGTATGGGCATCCTTGGACTGGTTTTTGTATTTTTTTTTTCTATGTTTCAGCTTCAGCTTCCAGACCTGCTGCTGCTGGTCCAAGATGGGGAAGAACACTCCTATTCTCTGGCTTCCCCTGTGTTTATCCTTAGTCCCTCCCCTCATGCAGTTAAGGCTGATTGATTGGGTCGAAGGGGTGACTGTCTCCATCTGTCCCTCCCCTCCTATGGAGAGTTTCATAGTCCAATTTGTTTGAGGTGATTGAAGCAAGTAGTGAGGAGCTAGAGGAAGGCATTGCTGGTCATGTGGAGGACAAGGTTATCCAATAGCATCTCTCAATGAAACTCCTTCATGCAACAGAGACCAACAAACCCAGGGCTCAAGGAACATTGCAGATGAGGGGGTGGAAAGATCGTAAGAGCCAGGGAGGAGTTGCATGACCATATGGAAATAGAGTCTTCAGGTTCCAGGGACCTTGCTCATATGAACTTACAGCAATGGTGACAGCATGCACAAGACCCATGAAAACTCAAGCAGACAAAAATACATCTTAGAACTGTGGAAATGGGCAGCAGGCTCCAATCTTAGTTGAAGAATCATTGGGCAGGGGATTACTACTGGGTGAGGAAGAGCTGATCTTCTTTAAGGGAGTCTAGATAGGCTAGCTAGACCCCATTGCATGAACGTGCCCTGAGGGATGTCAGGAGAAATGAACTTGACTTGATGAACCTTAACATAAATGACAGAATGCATGAAATCCAGTGGGGGCTATGAGAGCATTCTGATAGGGAAGAGGGTATAAAGATGATTAAGATATTGTATATGAAACACATAAAAATTCAATTAAAATTCTCAAAACCAACCAAAAATAAAAGAAAAAGTCTTTTTTAAATTTTTTTTTGTTTGTTTTTGAGACAGGTTCTTCCTGTACCCCAGCTGGCCTGGAACTCACTAGAGCAGGTTGGCCTCTACCTTACAGATATCCACCTACCTCTGCCTCCCAAGTGCTGGGATTACAGGTGTACATCACCATGCACAGCTTAAAGTAGTCATTCTTGCTGAACATGTTTATCCATCCAACTTTACTTACAACTTTCTAAAAATTCTGTATTACTTTATGGGTCAGGACTTACGTACAATGAAGTGTTTTGATATTGAGCTTGTCAATTTATATCTCTGATATAGTGTTGGTTGGTTCCGCAAAAGTGAGATGCAGATATGATTTTTAATAATTATACTTAATGAAATAAAATGATCATAATAATAATGCAGGAAAACCAGAACTGCAATTATTTAGTGTTGGACACAGTTGGTAATTGTTATCCCAGCTTTATTTTGTGCATCTATACTTCCTAAGAGGTAAAAGTTAAATCTGATGTTTGAAAGTGAGAAATAGCTTTTATCATCTTATCATAATAACCCAAATTATGCTCATTTTCAGTATTGGATAATTCATATAATTTTCCTACTTTGGTTAGCCTGAAGGTCATAATATCTCTGACTTTTCTCAGGACAATTCAAAGACAATAAATATCTGAAGTGTTGGGTGTTATTATTGTGTCAGCATGAAGAAAATGTCAGAAAAATTTAGAGGTTTTGGAATTTAGAGGAATTTATTAGGAGAAAAAGAACTCTTGACCACCACCGTTTTAGCTCTCTGCTTTTATTATAAGAAACAGGACAAATAGAACATTTGAATACTGGATTTTCCTGTTCTTAATAAAGTCATGTGTTGTAAAGACAATCGTATAGATTGAGCGAAGTGAGCTTTCCTTTATAAGCATATATTTTCTTTCATGCTTATGGCTGTTGAAACTTCTAAACAGAAATGGAAATTAAGATGAAATATTTTCTTGTATTTTCTTTTTATTTATACTTTAAAATGGTCTCTTTTTCCACTTGCCAGACTCCGGATTTAATCAAAAGGAGAAAAGAAGGAAATATTTTAAATGCTCATATGAGATTTTCTAACCCTTTAGATAAAACATTGAAATGGCAGTGTTAGAACTTACCAAAGTACATTTCAAAACATGTCTACAATTGCACTGAACTGATCTTTCATATCTAATATTTTAATGTACAAACTAAAGACTAAGAAGAATATGCTTATAACTAAAATAATGTTGATATATTTAGTTTACTGCAGGGACAGATGATACATGAAAACAGTCATGAGATAGTTCATAGGAAAAATGAGGGAAGGGGTCTTTTAGAAATTGCTGGAGTAAAGATAATTTTGTCTTAGCAAGGATCTCAACATAGTTCATTCAAACATTAGAAATCACATAACATATTGATAATCATAGTACTTTGACTTCTCCAACAAAATTATTCCCTGTTATTTTTTTCCTTCCAACACCTCCCATATCTCCCCATCACTTTTTTCTTTCTCTTTTTTTTCTTCTTTCATTTATTACTTTTTCTGGGGGTTTTGGGGACTCTATCCTCCCTTCCAACACCTCCCATATCTCCCCATCACTTTTTTCTTTCTCTTTTCTTTTTTTTCTTCTTTCATTTATTACTTTTTCTGGGGGTTTTGGGTACTCTAACATTCCCCTCTCTGAAGAGGTAACCCTAAAATCTTTTAAGGATTAGATACAAGCTCCAAATACTTTTGACATATTTGGCCTTTGGAACAGAGTATGTTGCTAAGAGGCCCAAAGACATTTTGACTTTCAGCCAAGAAATGGGCTACTTTCCTTTAGGGCCTTTTTACCCTAACTGTCTAGCCAATTCCTGCCTACTATTCTTTTTTTCTTTTTCAGTTTATTATTTATTTAATAACCACATACTTAGAAGAAGCATTTCTTCCTATTCTTATCACTACCATCTTCTGAAGGGGTTACCCAAATTGCCAATAGGGAATAGGGATGCAGACCCTGGCTTCTTCTATGTTGAACAGGGACACGGGGTGAGGCAATTGGAGTACCCCTTCAGTGGGTCTACCTAAAAGACTACCAAATTGCATAACTCTTATCTCTAATGGGGAAAGAAAGTCCTTGAATCATGACTAGGAGATGTGAAGGAGAAGTAAAGGCAAGAGTAATTAGCATTACAAGTTCTAGACAGGGAACTAGAAAAAAGTCAGAACAGGGCAATTTTCAAATGTTCCTATGACAGTCCATTGGAGTTTCTTGACAGGCGCTTCCAAAAGCATCCCTCTATTGGGTTATTCCTCATTTTTCTTTTGTCTTCCAGGCTGGACTAGTTGGCTGGGAAGAGTGGCTGGATACTCAGGTGAAGGTCCAGTTACCCTGCTTGGCACTCCTTCAGTGAATGAGCACAACCGTCAACAAGCCCAATTGTGACCATGTTTAACGATCAGGCTCAGCTGAAGCCGTGATGATGGTAGTTATTTCATGCAAAAGACCAAGATTTGAAGTCTTACATCTGAGCAGCACTTTCTGGTTAGGAACAAAATCATCAATGAGAAATAATTGTCTAAATACTTTTTATATAGACTTAAGCCTAATGTCTGGGAAGTGTAATCCCTTGAACTCCTAAAAAAGTATACTGATGACATTACTCTTTGGTTATACTTTACTTTTGGATGTTCAAGACCATACATTTGGCCCAAATAAATCAATTTTTTTTACACTTAAGGTCATTTGAGGATCTGTTCCTCAGGGGTCACATGGGCTTGGGAGGAGCTCCTGGCTCCTTTCTTTTACCTGTTCCATTTATGTGACATTAAGTCAAAGGTCCTGTTTGACCATGTCTGGCTTCACTTGGAAGCATGAATGAGATGTTTCCTCTAAGTTGACCCTCCTCTTTGTAGACTGGACACTGGTTCAAGTCCATCTCATGGGGTCTTCATAACCTCCTTGAACAAGAGGACAGGTGACTCACCACATTTACAGGACATTTTGAGAGATGTTCCATAGTCCTGTAGAACTTGGTCAACCTTGAAGGACAAGGGGCAAAAACTGTCCTTTAAGTCCCTCTGACAATGTTAGTATAGGCCTTGAAGTATGACTGTCAAACATCTAATAAGGTTAGTTCCACCAGTCTGATACTTCTAGTTATCATGTGCTATGTAGATAAGGCTTAGGTAAGGAACCAAATATTCTCAGATAAACAGTGAATAGATTTATATTTTGTTCCTTAAACTAGTTGACTAAACCATGACCATAAACATTTTAAGATCATGTGTATATTATTTTTGTCTCATCCTTTATATATAACAAACCTACACAGACCATTACTTGCTTAGGCTTTCTCATTTGTTCTATTTTGGAAAATATCTCAATTATCATATCCTTTCACAATATTTTAAAATCTTGTGGCTTAATCTTGAAGTCTTATGACCTGCTGGTTATTAATGGTAATAGTTTGGGGTACTGTCACTTCAGGAGTTCAATATCTGCTAACAAAACAGCATTTTTACCAAAAAGAGGAAAAAGAAGTCTTTGCAAATGAACATATTTCATTAGTGGTTTCCAGAAACTGGTTAATGCTGTTTAATCTGCATCATACATCACAAGTTCAGACCAAGGATCTTAGCTCTCATCTATTACTGGGAACTGTTTACTTCTAAAGATTTATTAGAGAAGTTCAGTTTGTGTGGGATTTTTCTTTATTTGTTTGCTTTACTTTATTTTAATCTTTACTGTTGGAGGACAATGTTGACTTAACTGCAAATCTAGTACTAATAATTAAATCCTTTGGAGTTACGTGACTGTTTTAGTTATTAACAGTTCTGGTAACTTCCAAACGTATATTGATGATACTCTCAAAATACACAATTATTTAAGATCACATTCAGGTTGATAATCAGTAGCTGTTAAAGATAAGTTTTCCATGCTTCTTGCTGACAAGATTTATTCACTTTTTCTAATTTTATTTATTTCCGTGAATTATTGAAACTGAGGATAACAAAATCTTCTATTTAGGTAGTACATACAAATCTACAAGAGTTTAGTCTATCACTATGCTGGGGGAATGTGTCACAGAGAGTGGGAACATTGGACATTTTATTACTCTTTAAAGATTAACCTGAATTTCACCAACTGACAAACATATTTAAGCCTAGACAGAAAATCTGTTCATAAACATTTCTTGCATCAGTCTTCATACCTACAAATGACTGCTTCTCTCAACCTCAGAAACACAACATGATTGAAAAACATTTAACTAAATTCACTGAATGTGAACAAAAACGTCAACTGTGAATTGTCCAGCAATAGGACACGTGTGGGGATGAAGTGAAAAGAAAATCTGTGGTAGAGTACCAGGTGTCTGAAGAATAAGAGGTTTAAGTGGAACTCTAGGGGCATTACACGCTGGGAGAAAAGGAAAGGATCCAGACTCACATAACATCTCAGGACTATGCAGAGAGAGACAGGAAAACACAGAAATGATGAAGATGTGTCAAAAGAATGTGTTCTATGCTGAACCTTACGCTTATGTGAAACAAATTCAGCAACTTACATCCTAAGCATAGAGCTGAGATTTACAAAAAGTAGTGCCATATAAAGTACCAGGGCCAGAATTTGTGAAGCACAAGTAAAATTTCAAGATATCACATGACAGAATGCCAGCTGTATCCATTTGGAGGACTACGAGGAGCAATGGCAATACCTACTTATGAAAAGTTATGTGAATTTGAGATAATTCTACGATTATCCAAAACCCAAGGAAGCACAAACAATCACTAAGCCATTAACAAAGCCTGCCAATGAAGATCAGGAAATTGGTACAGAAATTATTAAAAGAGAACTGAAAATTCCTGCAGTGACTATTGCTAAGAATGCAGGTATTGAAGGCTCTTTGATAGTTGAGAAAATTATGCAAATTTCCTCAGAAGTTGGTTATGATGCTATGCTTGGAGATTTTGTGAACATGGTAGAAAAGGGAATCATTGATCCAACAAAGGTTGCAAGGACTGCTTTACTGGATGCTGCTGGGGTGGCCTCTCTATTAAGTACAGCAGAAGATGTCATCACAGAAATTCCTAAAGAAGACCCTGGAATGGGTGCCATGGGTGGAATGAGAGGTGGTATGGGAGGTGGCATGTTCTAATTCCTAGAATAATGCTTTGCCCTTATCAGTGAACTGTGACAAGAAGCTCAAGGCAGGGCTCCTCCTCAAGGCAGGGCTCATTTGAAGAGAGTGACTGAAGAAAGGCTGGCTGATGTTTAAGAAAATTACTATAACCATCAGTTACTGGTTTCAGTTGACAATATATAATGTTTTACTGCTGTCCTTGTCCATGCCTACAGAAAATTTATTCTGTATTTTTGAATAAAGACATTTGTACATTCCTGATACTGGGTGCACAAGCCAGGTACCAGTGTCCTGCTTTTAACCTCATTCACTGAGGCATCTTGTCTCCTGTTACAGACAGCATTTCAGTGCTTGCCATCACAGATGAGAAGCAGCCTTTCTGTGGAGAGTCAGAGTAATTGTGTACAAAGTAGAGAGATCCAATTATGTGACAACCTCTGCAGGAATTTTCAGTTCTCTTTTAATAATTTCTATTCCAATTTCCTGATCTTCGTTGGCAGGCTTTGTTAAGCCCAAGGCTGGGATGCAACAAAGCCGAGCACAACCCCGTCCTAGAACAATGCCTTCTTCAACAGTTGATCTGGTAGCATTAGCATTAAGGGCATCTGTCATTCTATCTTTCTTCACATTTGCTTCAGCATCACTTGTCCCTCCAACCTTTAGCGCAGCTACTCCATCTGGTAGCTTTGCCAGTCGTTCATTCAGTTTTTCCTTTTCATATCCATTATTTGTGATCTCTAACTGCTTAGTGATTTCTTGAATACATTTTTCAATTTGAGCTTTGTCACCTTTTCCTTTATAAAGCATGACATCATCTTTGGTGACAATGACCTCTCCAGCTTTTCCTAAGTCATGAGCTTGAAAACCTTCAAGGTTCAGATCAACCCCTCTTCTTCAAATACTGCACCACCAGTAGCAATAGCCGTATCTTTTAGCTGGTTCTTCCTATTGTCCCCAAACCTTGGAGCTTTGACCGCTATCACCTGAAGGCCAACCTTTAGACTGTTCAAAATCAGTGTACTTAGAGCTTCTCCATCAACATCTTCAGCAATTATGACCAACAGCTTCCAGTGCGCATTGTCAATTTCAAGAGCAGGAACAACAGACTGAAAACTAGAAAGTTTATTTTCACTCAACAAAACATAGGCATCTTGAAATTCACATTTGTGACCTTTTGATGTATTAATGAAATATGGGGACATGTACCCTCGATCAAACTTCATGCCTTCAATAATTTCTAATTCATCATTCAATGCTTTCCCATCCTTTACTGTGATATCACCCTTTCTTCCAACCTTTTTAATGCCTCAGAAATGATGTTTCCAATTTCTCTGTCTCCATTTGCAGAAATTATAGCAACCTGAGCAATTTGTTCAGGAGTTGTAACAGGTTTGACTGCTTTTTAAGTTCAGCAACAACAGCATCAACAGCCAAGATCACACCTCTCCTGCTTTCCACTGGATTGGCATTTTATGCCTGGTGTGGTGGCGCATGCCTTTAATCCTAGCACTCTGGAGGCAGAGGCAGGGGCATCTCTGTGAGTTCAAGGCCAGCCTGGTCTACATAGTGAGTTCCAGGACAGCTGGGGCTACAAGGAGACCCTGTCTCAAAAAGACCAAAAAAAAAAAAATCTATGGATTAGCATTTTATGAGTATGAGGGTTTTGCCTGCATGTATATAAGTGCACCCATGTCATGCAATGCCCGAAGGGGTCAGAAGAGGGCGTCATATTCCCTGGAACTGGAGTCATGGATGGTTGTTAGCTGCCATGTGGGTGCTGGGATTCAAACCCAGGTTTTTCTGCAAAAGCAGCCAGTGCTCTGAACTGCTGAGTCATCTCACCAGGCCCTTTGTTCAGTGTTTTCATCACAGCAATGTGAAAGCAAACTAGAACATAGGCATAAGCACATTGTGAATAAAGCACACAATCATATGAGCCACAATGATCTTAATTTAGATGACAGCAATCATCCTAAAGCAAAGTCTTTACAGTCATTCTTTCTTTTTGATATATTTATTTTTATTTTATTTGTACACGAGTGTTATGCCTGAATGTGTGTAAGTGCACCATTGTTGTCCAGTGCCAGCTGAGGACAGAAGAGGTCACTGGATTCCCTGGAACTGGAATAACATATGATTTTTAGCTGCCATGTGGATGCTGGGATCTGAACCTGGGTCTTCTGCAGGAACACTCAATGCTCTTAACCAATATGTCATCTCACCAGTTCCTTACATTCAAATCTAATCTAATGATGCAAGCCATATTTTTAAAAGATTACTGTATTCCACGTTTCAGGTAAATGTATCCAACAATATATTTATTTCATTTAACTTTTTGCAATAATATCATAATAGGCCTCCAACAATAAGATCAATAAATATGATTCAGTTGAATTTTCACATACCAAAAGGGAGTAAAGCAGTCCAATAATTTAAATTTAATCCACCAGAACTTTAGTTTTCATTCTATCTCTGTACATGTTTTTCAATTCAACCTATGCTTTTGAATAGCTTCCGTAAATAGAGAAAGAAACACAAAGTCAATATGATTACATTAGTTACTTGTATATTACTTTGATGAAATTACCTAACAGAAGCAATTTAGGTGAAGCAAGCTTTACTTTGTCTCATGGTTTCAGAGTCTCAAGCCTTCATGAAAGGAAAGGCATGCAGAGCTGCTCTGTGGGAGCGTTTGGTGGCAACTCTCCATGTCCTGGTACATTAGGAACCAGAAAGCAGTTGTAACAGGGGCTGAACTAGTAACTCTCAAAAGCTGGGTCACAGTGGCCTATGTCTGGCCACCAGCTCCACCTCCTATAGGCACTTCCTGGAGACTTAGTGTTCAAAGCATGAGCCTATGAGGGACATTTCAAATTGAAACTATAACAGTAACCAAGATTCTCTTAAATGCATATACCTCTATGTGGAAGTAATTAATCAGGAAGCAATTATCAGCTATTAATAGAATGCATCATTACCTGATGTAAAGCATTCCTAATTACAGTTAAATGATTTTAACTTTATAAATGCAAGGTACCTTTATAAATCCAGGACATTATTGCTATAATTATTTACCAAAATATTTTGCAGTAAAGCTGGCCACAATACTTTTAAAATCTGAATGATGTAACTAAGGCTTTAGGCATGAATCATTGAGGGGAAATGCTTGATTTATGACTATAACACTTTATGATTTTTTCACAGATTTCCTGAGGTAACTTTTTTATAATTTCAAAATGACACATTTTCCTTCTAAATATTTCTGGAAATATCAGATATAGAGTAAGCAAAAATGGAAAATCACACACATGTAAACACATATATAAGCAACATATATATGAAACACATTATGTTTAATATATGTAGGTAGAGCTATCTAAATATATAAAACTCTTGATCTCCTAAATAATAATACTGTAGACATCTCTGAATTGGGTTTGAAAACTGCAAAATATAATTACTATATTCAATCTCCAAATACCTAGTACCTCACTGTATTATTCTGTACTTCTCTCTCAAATCTCTCTACTTGCACTGTGCTAATGTCCAAAGCCAGGCTTCAATCATCAGCCCATGATCCATAAAAGATATGATGAAGTAGTCAAAATACAGACTCTTTTTCTAAATCAAACTTTCAATTTCTCTTAGCTCAAAACATCTGTATCTATTGCTCTTTCCATCATTGTCACCAAATGCCTGGCAAAAGCAACTAAGAAGAGAAAGCTTATTCAGTCTCATGATTTCAGAGAATATCAATCCATCGTGGTAAGGAAGGCATGGTGTCACAGCTAATTACATCTTGGCAGTAGGCAGGAAGCACAGACATGTAGTGAAAGCTGAACTGGATTATAACCCTCATAGTCTGCCATTCAACCACCCATTTCCTCCAGCTAGGACCCATCCTCTAAATGTCCCATTACCTCCCTAAACAGATCCACTAGATGTGGACCATATAAATATTCAAACAAATGTTCCTGTGGTGAATGTCATACATTCAAACTATAACATCTTCCAAAGTAACCAGAAATTTATTCTTAGCACTTTTCATCTAAATGAAATCTGTATTATATACTGATTTAGTCTGACTTTTTATATGTTGTTAAGTCTACAAGATTATCTGAATGTTGTGTGTAGTAGCAGAGGCAGGTCTTTCGCTGATTTTTATTGCCATGAAGCAGGTTTCTCAAGCTCGGCTCTATTTATATTTTGGAGTGTGTAATTCTTGGCATTCTATACATGGTAACACATTTGGCAGCATCCTTTGCCTGTATTTATTAAGTATTCCAGTAACAGCTGCCCATGTTGCTACTATCAGAAACATCTCCAGACGTTCCTAAATATATTATAGGAATAAAATATCCCAAGGCTAAACACTGCAGCTCTTACACTACCATATTGTTAGCTTGTGTCATAGAACTAGCTACTTAACTACAGTTGCAAATTTGATTGGTAACAGTCTGGATTCATTAAGAAACATAAGGCTACTTGAATTATCCTGACAATAAAGTTCTTTAGCATATAAGATAGAGTTTACAGAAGATTTGTGAGGACTTTTTGGTTTGTGGGGGGATAAACATAAGCAAATTCTCACTAAATTTAAGCACAGATAAAGTTAAGGAAGTGGATGCTAGTGTATCTCAATCTGAGTTACCAAGACAAGCAATTCTTAAAGGCTCCTGGGAAAGCTCATGATTCTCAAAGACCTGTGAGAAACAACTCACTCAGTGTGCAGCAGCAAATTAGATTTTCAAGTGCTCACTGTGAAACTGCAGTAAATCATACATCTAACCACCACATGTCAAGCTGCAACCAGCTTCAGCAAGACTCCTGTGCACATCATCCCACTCCTTTCCTACATGAATTATTCTCATTGGCAAAATTCAACCCTGAGTTCTACAAGGAAAGGCACTTTGGAAAATGCCACTCGAAGTTTTTCCCTCTGCATTTTAGAGGAATCAGGGAAATGTTTCCTCTGGTTGACAGCAAACTATCCAGCACAAGA